AGCTTTGTTCCGCATGTTAAATGCCTATTGACTCCTCCGGCCCAAAGAAATATTGATTTTTCTCTCACTTTCTTTACAGGCACTGCTTTCTTTCCTGGTCGCTGTGCTGAGGTCTTTGCCAAAGGTCAGAGCATTGGGAAACTTGGAGTCGTACACCCTGATGTTATCACCAAGTTTGAGCTCACCATGCCTTGCTCTGTCCTGGAGATCAACATTGAGCCCTTCGTGTGAAGACGCGACTTTTATCTGCGACAGCCGTCCGCTGTCACACGCAGCACCCTCTCCTCTTGTCTGCCTCCCAGGGGACATCCACTTCTGCTTTTATGTTCCAATAAACAGAAAAACAGATAAACCAGATCCTGTCTCCTGAGTAAATGTGTTCTTTGCAGTGCAATCTGGCTGGCTTCTGCAGGGAAGGAATGTGGGATCTCAGACAAGGCTGTGCCCTCAATGCTTTCAAAGGGCAGAGGGGAAGAAACAAGTTGGGTCAAAGCCCAGTGTTTTACAAGAGAAATGTAATGGCAGAGCACATGATTAGTTTTCAAAATCAGAAATGTTCCACAGACACAGCTTCATACTGTAACTGATTATGGCTGCATAACAGGAATCTCATTCTTTTCTTACTGCATGAAATAAGATAATTGATTAGAGCAAATGTTGAGTGAATGTGAGCAGAACTAAGGAGTTGAGCTTTTATTCTATACGGTTGTCATGTGCTCATCAATGGCTGGGGGAGGAAAATAAACTTGTTTCATGAAAACCAGAGCTATTTTGTAAGCAAGATGTGTGTAATATCTGCTTGCCTGCTCCAGACATAACTGTTGGTCCTTTATCATTCTAAATTCAGAAAGGGGAGGGGGTGGAATTAAATTTTTTGCATTGTTGATGTCAGCCTAGCGGTTTTTGAAGCTCCAAACCAAATGGGGAAGTGCATTTAAGAGCATATGACAGTGGTGTTTTGCATGAGTAGCAGAGAACTATCAAAGCCTTTGTCTGCCTGAGGCTGGTGTGTTTGTCTGCAGAAGTGAGCGTGGGCCCACTGCACTCCCAGCCCCACCAGGGCTTTCTGGACCCCAGCTGTGCAGCAGGACCATGCAGCTTTTGGGCAGGGTTACTTTTCTGGCAGTTCTACCCCTGCCAGTACATGAGAACCTCTCATGGGTCAGGCTTTTCCTTCTAGGTGGCATTCTGGCAGCAGTTGTGTCACAGCTCGGTGCATTGTGCCTCTGCTCTCTCTGAAACTGAGACGCTCCATCCAGCATAGCGATGCCCAATCCTGCCTTTCCAAGTGGGTGGTCAGCTCAGTCCACTGAAGCAGCTCTTGCCTGGCAGCCTTGTGGAGCTGGCTGTCCCTCCTTTGCAATATTATAGCCATTGCTAATGCTGCAGGGCAACAACAGCCAGTGCTTTGTGCTAGGCCGATGCACTGCGGCTCCTTTCTGCTGCGAGAGCCAGGAGTGGCCGGCCCAGGAGTGGCCTGCCCAGGAGTGGCCTGCCCAGGAGTGGCCTGCCCAGGAGTGCCCATCGGGGAAGGGTGTTCCAGTGGCTGCCCACCGAGCTGAGATGTGCAGTGTGAGGTAAGCTCGGAGTCCCACGAGCTGCACAGACCCCTGCCACTGGGCCCACGAGGGCTCTTCAATGGCAGCCCCATCAATAATCTCAACAGGTGGGAAGGCAACAGGCAAGGCTTTTTGGTGCAAGTGATAATCCAGTATGAAATATGCACTACAGTTACCCATCTGGAAACCCTCCGGTTCCCCTCAGATGGAAGTGTAGATTTTAATTATCTCTGCATGACAGACGTGAAATGAGAACAGAGCTGTTGCCATACGTTGCACGGCCGACTGCGGTGCCCACGGAGAGTGAGAAAACTGCAGCTCACATTTTAAACCTCCCCGGGGATTCGGCAGCCTGGCCTTTGCAGGATCTCTCTCTCCGTGATGCCTCCACAACTGGAAGCAGGCAGGCTGGCAGTGTGGGAAGCAATCTGGAACACAGATGGAAAGTATTAACCCCCCCTTGTTTATTGGTGTGTCATGCACGGGGATTAGGACGACAATAAGGCAGATTTGCATTGCAGCAGAGTGCAGGCATATTTGCGTGCACTAAATATATTTCTCTACACAAGATTTTCTGACTCTTTGGGTGTCCCAATTCTCCTGTGAATTTATCTGTCCTTTGAATGTAAAGACAAGATTAAGCTGGGACTAAGGGCTTGAGCTGCAGTGGCATGTGTTGTGAGGCTTTTAGGGATCGCTTCTTTTTCATATTATTTCTCATGCATTGGCAGCTAAATGCTCCAAAACCATGAGCTTTGTCCCAGGTAAGTACCATTACTTGCTAAAAGTAGAGGATGAGAATTGAGAGGAAGGTTAAAAAGCCTCTTCAGAGTCCCTGACCCCTCCAGTTAACTATAGTGCCAGCAGCCTTGCAATGAAATTCAAGCTCTGCTGTAGTGCTGAGCTCAGGATTAACTGTGATTCCTGATGAGTGGGACACTTCATATAAGTCTGGTGTATTTATTGCAAGGCTTTATCTTTCATAGCTCCAAAGCAATTATCTGGTATTTACAGCCTGCTCATAGCTGTGTGCAGTACTCGAGGTAGTTATTACAGAGCTTCATGCTGGAGCCAGCCACTGTGAACACTGAAATTTGCTTTTACCCTTTGCTGTAGCCATGGGCTCTGGCAAAGGAAACCTTTGCTGCTGGTGAGGACTTCTGAGCAGTTTTTAAACATCTTTTGAACTTGGGTCTTCTTTTTAAATAGGAGTTGGAAATGGGATTTTTAACTACTGCTCCTCAGTTATGGATTACTTTTGGCCTGCTCTTGCTCCCTGTGGGTACTGGGTCATTGCTGAGGACCTGAACACAAGCAGTAAAGGCTGGGGAGCTGGTGACAGAGAGATCAGAGCTGGTTCAGTGTGCTGTCTGAGCAATTGCTGGGTTCCATTCTGCTGGACATGTGCTCTGAGCTCTGGGTTTGTCCTTGCTGTGCTTCGGTGGGGATTTGGCAAAGAGCAGGACCCGATACAGCCTGGCTGCAGCTCCCAGGCCCCACTGCCTGCAGGTTACCCTTGCTATTGCACAAGGGTGTTTATGTAAAGGTGATGCCTGGGACTGTTTCCATCTCCAGGCTGGCACTGTGCTCGCTTGAAATTTAAATCAGCCTTGGTTTGGCAGGTGAGAATGGAACAGGCTGGGCACAAGCGCTGCCAGGAGGCTGCCAGGGGATCATGGCCTGGCACAGGTGACACCTCTGACCGCCCGGTGACCTTGAAACCGAGCCTGCTGCCAGGGCGGGGTGGCAGCGGGGTGGTGGGGGTGGCCGGGGGACAGTGGGGAGACAGTGGGAGAGCAGGGAAGCTCTGAAAGGAGCAGGAAGCAAGCGAGGGCCTTGCTTTACTTGTGGCTCAGCAGATGTGCAAGATCCCAGCCACTGCCCAGCCACCCTTCCACCCTGTTCAGAGAGGTATCTGTGTTCTCTAACTTCTTGTAGCACAGTTGAGAAGGTGCAGTCTCAGTTTCACAAAACTGAAACTGAGACTGTTTTCTTCTCTTCCCTAAATTACATCAACTACATGATGAGCTTGCTTGCAATTTTGCATAGGAACTTGAATGGATTAGGAAACTGGGGTCATGACAAAGTTACTGCTGGAAAAATAAGCAGGGAAATTCAGTGCTTGCTGCTTTAACCCTGCCAAAAGGTGCAATATCCATTTGACTTCTGACAGAGTAGCTGGTTCTGCATTGGGGCACCAGCACACAGAGATGCCCCAGGGAGGAGGAAGCCTGGGTCAGCACCAGGTGCCCAGAAAGCGATTTGCAAAGTAAGCTGGTCAGGAGATTACAGCCTCCAGGCAGGACAGAGTGGACTAAGCTATGGGTGAGGTGCCTGCTCCATCCCTCTTGAGAGCATAATAAAGGCAGCTCAGATTGTCTTGCATCACCCCTCCAGCTGCAAGCAGGCACGGGAGGGAGAGCTGTAGCACTGGACCAGAACAGACAGCACAGACAGTACTGAGAACACAACAGCCCAGGCTGTGGTACTCTGGAAGTTACCTCCCACTCCATTCACATCAAACGCAGTGTTTTACTCTAAAACACAAGTGTGCCTACTCAAGAGGATTCAGCTGGTGCCTTTGTCTTACAAAGTAAAGAACATGGCCAGCAAACCCAACACAAACCTCATTCTGTACCACCACCCTGGAAATGCAGAGGCTTCTGCACTGCAGGGGTGAAGAGCATTTCCAAAGACAGCAAAGACACGGATTTGTAATGAGAAGCTGGTGCTTCAGCTTAATGAAATACAGAAAGGATGATGTGTCTCACCTTGTCAGAAGACTTGCCTCTCCAAGCCTGGCCCTGCAGGAGTGGCTATGGTCCCGTGAGCATCTCAGGGGCACAGCCTCAGCACAGAGCCCAGCTGTAAGCCCTGCCTAACCCAGCTGGCCCCCGATGCTGCAGCATTTGGCTTATCCTAATCAGCTGTGGGCACTTGGAGTGACACTACTTCCAGTGTCACTGAGAGGAGGATGAGGCCTCATCTGGTTTCAAATACACTTTTTGACCCCAAAACCTTGTTAGTCTCCTTAACAAATGCAAAATATTCTGCAGGTAATGGGTTGTCATGCTATCATTGCACATGTTAAATTGGCTTCCAGTTAACTGTTTAGCTGATTAGAAGCAGATATTGTAGGTGAAGAGGATTCCAGTGCCCCAGCACTAATTACATGCAACTCACTCGTTTACATTTGCAAATGTTGTAACAAATAGTCATTAGTAGACTAGTAATCTCTTTTTAAAATGTTTTTTAAAAAGCAGGATCCTTCTGGAGGAGCCAAAGCACGGAGCTAGACTGAGCAGGAGACAAGCAGGACACCTTGGGAAGAGAAGTGGGTGCTTGCACTCGGGGAGCTCTTTTAGCTGGGACTTATTGCCTTTACCTCAGCCATTTTCAAGTACCAATAGAGGATGCAAAACAAACAGACAGACAACAAACTCTGCAAAATAGGTTTATTTTAAAATTTGAACCAAATAGAGTTTGCATTTATTGCATGAATCACATGCAGGTGAATACTATAAAAATACCTGTGCAGCATTTATATATAATTTATAAAATCTTCATAGCATAAAATAACTGTGAATCAGAACAGAAATTTTACACATAAAGCTGCATGAATGTCCCTGTCAAATTGTGCCTTTCTTGGGAGTAATTCCAATCCCCAGCTTGAACGCTCATCTTGCTGCCAAGTTTTTTCCCAATTTTGTGATGTGGCCCCTCCGCAGGGCTCCAATTGTGCACTGCACCTGTGTGTCATGCAGTACTCTCAACACAAGGGGTGTAAAGGTATTTTAAACTTGATGGTAGAGCTTCTGTGGTGTATAGGAGGGAGAGGCTGAGGATGGAACCCCATGGCTGGGGTGGCCCATGTCCAGCACTCACTCAGGGGCAGGTGTGAGTGGCCACGTGCCCTGCTGAAAGGCTCGCTGGAGCTGTTTGCATGCACGTGTAAAGTCCACACAACCTGATATAAAACACAGCCTGAGAAAATCTAAAACTGGTTAAGATTTCTGCCTGAATTTCTTCTGGAGATTGGCAGCCTGGGTTTGGAGTGGTGCAGCTCTTTCACGTGCATGCCTCACACTACTCAGACAGAACCCCCAGCTACAGTTTTGGAATTGATTTTGTTTATCCAGGCAGTCAATGGATGGCAAAGCACCTCCTTTACATTCTTCAGGTTCACTTTTCTCGCAGCCAGGAAGACAAGTGGACATGGTTAGAAAGCTGGCTCTCACTGTTCATTCTGCCAGGCAAGGCACAGGGGCCATGCTTGAAGCTCTGCAGCAATAGCACAGTACATTTTCCTAGCCAAGCAGACCACATTCACTGCTGTATTTCTCAACAGCTCAGTGGTCCAACAGCTGAAATATATTGTTTTAAATAAGCAGCCTGAGTTATAGGCATGCCCTTTCTATGGACACACCTCCCTGCTATTCTACAAGTGTACACACAGTGTTGCAGGATGCATGGAAGACCAACTGCGATGCTGTGCAGCAGCAGAAATGATGGCATCTTATAATTGTCACGCGCTGTAGTCACCAGAGTCACTGCTCAGCTCCTTCCACAACGCAGTTTATGGACTCTACTTGTCACCCCTACATGACAGGAAGGACTTTTTCCTTTCCTCTAGCCAGGGGAACTAAATCGGAGTTAAACAGTTTGAACTCGAGCCTCAGTGCTGTGATAATAACTCTGCTCAGTCGTTTGTAGGCAAAGGATCTTTTAGTGGAGGCTTTCTTATTAATATCCAAGGAAATTTGCAGCAAATCACATTAAACATTGTGTTAGCTTTTCCTTCTCTTTTACATTTTGGGGTTTTTTTTTCTATTTTACATTGGAATAATGAGTAAAACAACGCACAGAATTAGCCTGGTCTGGCAGTGCCATCAGAAGACATGACGAGCTCTGCCCAATGATGGCATTTTTATTTTGGCTGGTCACATGTCCCCCCACTCCACCAGCCACTTTTTCCCTGATGCCCCAAACCTGAGCCCTGCCTTGGCTTGCTGTACTGCTTCAGGAGCAGCCAGGCAGGCAGAGGCACAGCCCTGCTCCCCAACAACCCCAACCCCACAGCAGAACAGCCATTGCTGCTGCCCTGGCAGAGATTTTGGCTGTGAGCCTGTCGTATTTAGTTGCCTGGGCAAAGAGTGTCTAATTATGGGACACAAAGGGGACACGGTGGGGTCAGTGATTTCCATCCCAAAGTTATCTGTGCACAGCAATTCCCATTACTCCTCCGAGTCAGATATTTCAGGCCAGTTTCTTTGTGTTTCTGTGGCAAGGGCATCGGAGGGGTGGGGGTGGCTGTGAGGGTGACTTCTCTCAGAAGGTGCCAGAAGCTTCCCCTGTGTCCAACAGAATCAATGCCAGCTGGCTTCCAGACACATCCACTGCTGGCCAAGGCTGAGCCCATCAGTGACAGTAGCAGCACCTCTGGGATAACAGAGTTTAAGAAGGGAGGAAAAACCTGCACAATTGCAGGCAGATATGGGAGAGAAACAACTCTGCAGACAGCAAGATCACAGACGGATGAGGAAGAGGTGGTCTGGGTGCCAGAGCAGAGACTCCCCTGCAGCCCATGGTGCAGCCCATGGTGAGGCAGCTGTGCCCTTGCAGCCCATGGAGGTCCATGGGGAGCAGAGATCCACCTGAAATCAGTGGATGACCCCACACTGGAGCAGGGTGATGCCCTAAGAAGGGTTTGAAAACCACCACTGAAACAGGCTCCTGGCAGGACTTCTGATCCCTCAGGGGACCCTTGCTGGATGGAGAACTGCAGACCATGGGAAACTTCACACTGGAGATGTTTCTGAAGAGCTGTCTTCTGTGGGAAGGACCCTATGCTGGAGCAGGGGAGGAGTGTGAGGGGTTCTACCCCTGAGGAGGAAGGAACAGCAACATGTGATGAACTGACTGCAACCTCCAATCCCATCCTCCTGTGATGGTGGACAGGAGGAGCTAGAGACTTCAGGAGGGAAGCTGAGCCTAGAAAGAAGGGAGGGGTAGGTGGAAAGTGGTTGTAATGTTTGTTTTTATTTCTTATTATCCTACTCTGATTACTTTGATAATAAATTAAACCTATTTACCCAAGTTGAGTCTGTTTTGCCTGTGACAGTAAAACTGCTGCGTGATCTCTCCCTGCCCTTGTTTTGAGCCGTGATCCTCTCATTATATTTTCTCTCCCTGGAGAGAGAGAAGTGATAAAGCAGCTTTGGTGAGCCCCTGGCATCCAGCCAGAGCCAAACCCACCACACCAGTGCAGAAAGGCACAAAACACTTTTTGGTCAGGTCACCAGCCTGGACTGTCCCGTGTCCGAAGCGGCGGCTCGGTGAGGAGGAGCTGTGCTCACATCAGCCCCAGCAGCTCGTGCAGCCGCGGCACAACCACCGTGGCCGTGAAGCCCACGGAGGAGTAGGTCACAAACTTGTAGGGCACCTCCACTTCCAGGCGCCTCCGGGCTTGCAGGTCACCCATGGGGAACTTGTACCGATGGCCCAGCACGCCAAGGACCGCGCTCTTCATGAGCCAGCGTGTCAGCAGCACAACCAAGATCCCCACGGAGAACCTGGCTAGCACAAACACCACTGTGCTGGCAATCAGAGGGAGGCCAGGCTGAGCGCTCTGGCCAGTGTAGGCTGAAGCAGCATACTGGTTGTTTAACCAAAATCCCACAGTTGCTCCAGCTGCTGCTCCTAAGATCGTAGTGGTGTCTCCCCTGGTAGGGCTGTAATAGTCTAGTTTGGGGTAGTTGTAACATAAGACAAGAGGCACAACTATGGAAAACAATGGGCAGAAGGGGCTGGTTAGCAGCAAGTGATCTATTGTGTCCCACGCAGGATACAAGAGCACGAGCAACACAGCCGAAATCAGTGCTCCTCCAATCACATCCTGTGAAGAAATCACATTTAAAAGGCTTTGTGAGGCCTGGAAGGTAAAACAGGTATTTGGGTGATTATAAAAGACCAGTATCTGCATTGGTGGGGCCCAGCAGTGGAGAACACCCTGAATCCAGTGATGGCATTATCCACGTGCAGGGAAAACCTGAAGCATGTGCTAAACAAAACATGACAATCCACGATCCCAGCCTTAGCTTATGCATATGTCTGTGGACACACATCCTTCCTCACCTGCTGTCATGATTTGAGGACATTCTCCACCTATGACCTCGGAAAAGGCACGGGCACAACTCCATCCCAAGGACAACATTGCAGTGAGCTGCCTTCACACAAACCCTTCCCCTCCTGTAACCCTACAACAATTTCATCATGTCAGTGTGATTATCCCTTGCTTGCTTTGCACAAAGGGGGAGATGCTGTCCTTTGTCAGAGACAGGCTCCCATCCCAGAACCACAAGCTCCAGGGATGGAAAGGGCAGAGCTGTGGGACGTGGTGTGTGTGCCATGGTTTCTGCCAGCTGCGGGAGGGAGGCACCTCCAGGCAGGGATACAGCAAGGAGAAATTTGTTGCCCAAGTCTCTGAAATCTGGCCTTCGGTACACTGCCTGAAGCAAGCATATAGTTAAACCCTAATTTATTAACAGAGGCAAATAAGGTGTTTTGGGAACTTGATTGTTGTCAGCCACAAAGCTGAGACAGGAGGTAGCCCCTAACAAAAGCTCTCTGCATGGGAGCAGCCAGGTAAAAAGCAATAAAACAAGTTTCCCTGTGCCACCCTTCCAGTGTCATGTAGAGGCAGCAGTGTTAGTACAGCCACAAAAAGCTCTGCAAAAGCTGAAGTTTGCTACAGACAGAAATGTCCTCTTCTAAGATTGTATCTTTTTCACAAGTCATGACAGCTGACTACTACCATGATTGGTCGCAGTCTGAAAATTATTTATGCGAGCTTCACTTTGAGTTAGGCAGGAATGAGGGGACTTTCTCACAACAGAAATATTTAATGACATTCTGGTAAATGCATTACTCCTGTATGGCTGAACTTCAGCTGTTTATAACTTCCATTACATTCGCAGCGCACTTGGTTTTAAATAACTCCTACAGCCATTTTGCATATCCCTAATACAAATTTCCACTTATTCTCTCATCCAAAACATGAGGCTAGCCATGGAAATACACAGACTTGATCACAGATATCTAGAATGTAAAATACCATTATATTATCTACCTTTACTTCACAGTAAATCATGTTTTACTGTCAATTCTTAGATTATACCTTTGCACACAAAGCATGGTTTGGCCCAACACTAAGCAACCACCTCAACACAAAAGAGCCAGGGGCTGCTCCCAGCACTGATCCTCATAAATCCCATCCCCACTCTGTACATATATTTCCCACACACATGCTTGTCCACATCATGTTAGAAGAAAAAGTCCTCAATACCCCTCTGTGGGTGATCAAGGAGCAAAACTCAAAAGCTGTTCATACACTTTTCTGTTCAATTAAAGAAATGTAACCAAACATTAACATTTCCTCACAAAACTTTGCTCAGATTTACCCAGCTGACTCCAGCAGTTCCCGAGCCAGTTGCAAACAGTCCCTATTTACAAACCTGATTTAAGTTTTCTGAATTTTGTTATTCTCCCATTCAGCCCCTGTACAGTACCATGGCTCTTGGAAGTTTCAAGCAGGACCCAGACACTCAGCTCTGCCCCGACCAGTGGCATTGTATCAGTGGTCTCCAAACTGGGTGCACAAAGCAACCAGTGGGGCTGGGGGGAGAACATACTTTTTGCTCATAAATCAAGTAAAATGTACATTTTAAAGAAGTAATGCTTATTTCATTGTTATATTTGTTAATTTTGTGTGTTTTGTAATGCATGTACCAGTACAGTAGTGTATACAATTTGTAAATATACAATATATATTTGTAAGTATACAATGTATATAATTTATAAGTAAATATATATATATAAATATATATGTGGTACATGTTTTGTAAGTACATATATATATATGTAGGAGGCCAGCAGTTTATTCTGTTTTCCCCCCATCCACCAATATCTGGCTTCTCATTTTGAACCTAGAAGCTGCTGGAGAGCGGTGGTCCCTTCAGTCCCTGTGTGCACGGGCAGGTTTGATTATTTTGGAACATCCAGAAGTGGTGGGCAGGATCCAGAGCAACGCTTACATTTAGCAATGCAGAATTAATGACGTGTCCCCTTGCCTGTTAAACTCAGGACAAGACGGGAAGAGGAGGGATGGCTCCGATTTCTGCGAGAGCTGCTTTGCGGACTCTGGCTGCTGTGTCCCCGGAGCAGGACCTGAGTGTTTCCCGGGAGTGGAGCTGCTGTTAGCACGCCCAGGAAGCACATTCCTGCCTGTCTGCCTGTGTAAACAGATTAGCCTCTGCCAAGCCCGCAATTATAAAGGAATTTTTAAATAAGGGCAGGCACGGATTTTGCTCAAGGTGCAGTACTACCTGCAGAATTTCAAACCTCCGGTTGCTGGGAGGTTCATCCATCCTGCTGGGATGCTCCAGCTCCTCGGCACAGACAAGTCCTCCCCAGGCTCCATCGAGCTCCCCTGAAGCCCCTCCACGGCCGTGCAGCTCAGCCCTGCTCCCACACAGCCCCAAACATCTGCCCTGCTTCCCTGATACTCCCAATCCAAGCATAAGGAACACTTTTCCTATTCTGTCTGGTACAAGGTCACTTACTGCCCAAGTTCTGACACTACTCATGCTCCTAAACTCCACTCCTAAGGACTGTGCTGCACAGTGTGTGAAGTACTGTGACTATGTTGGGTGTTTATCAGCTTTAAAATATCTAACATCATTTCAGGATTAATGGTAGTATGAAAAAACCTGAAATACAGCCCAGCAAAGGGGCAGGGTGGAAGCTTCAGAACACACACCCCCAACTCCCCCTGTGGGAAGTGTAATCAGAAATAAATGCATCAACACTAAATGGGTACATCTCAGGGGGGATAAAAAGCCCTTCATGTTTTTTTGGCTATAAAAAGTGACCATGCTGCTCAGCACAGGAGATTATTGCTTGTAACTCAGGGCAGTGGCAGTGCCAGCGAGGTTCTCCCCACATCAGCTGTGGCTCTGGAGGGAATGGCTTCAGCAGATGTGAGGCAGAAAAACCTTTTCACTGCATTGAGGCAGGGATGAAAAATTGGGCCAGTGTTTTAAGAGGGAAAGCAAAGTAATATTTTCTAGAATACAACTCTCTGGAGAAAAAAGGCATACAACAACAGTTATCACTTATATAATCTCCAATTGCTTCTTGTTTCTCAAAAATAACCCTTAAAAACTTAGATTCACTGCTTCAAAGTGTGTCCAAATATTTACTTTCTTTTTTACTTTGTCTTTTCCAGGTAACTCCAAATTGCCTCTTTACCAGGTCTTTGGACTCCATCATTTAAGACCTACAAGAAAGGACCCTGCATTTCCCCTGTTTTTCCACGCACACAGGACACTGATGTTGAGGTGATGGAGATGGGTGGTTGTGACTCAATTACCTGTCAGCAGAGTGAGTGCATTGCTGCCACCCCATTCTCTGGCTGGGTGATGCTCTCCTGCTAACAGCCCAGGCCATGGGTGCTGGTTCCCTTTTCCCTGAGCATAGTATTCACTCTGGTACAGCTAGAAGGATGCAGACAGCTCCCATACCAGCTGTGTTTGATGGTAATATCTCTTCTAATGACATCACTGTGCTTTCTGATACCCTTTCTCATTCAAAAGCAAGGCCAGCAGTGCTAAAATACAAACAGATTTGTAAGGCTGAGACTACAGAAGATGAGATTCTGCACTGATGAGGAGCTGCAGGAAAGCACAGTGCAACTGCCCTTGTCACTCCTCTGGTTCCTCAAACAGGAAAAACTCAGTTACACCAAGTCCATGGATATTTGTTACCCATTCCTTTGCTTTACTAAAATGTAATACATTATTACATCCTTTCTGTTATGGCCTCAGTTAAAAACCCAGAGGCTCTTTCAGGCGATGGCTTGAGGTCAGACACAGCTCTGGACTGCACTTCTTCCCTAAAGAGCTGGTGGCATAGCAGAGCCAGTCCCTGTGTGACAAGCTGCATGTGGAACCTGTGACTCAGCCTGGCACACACCAGATAAAGACCCTTTGCCCTTCTGAAAGGCAGCATTGCTCACTCTTCAGCTAGGAAGCTTTTTCTAAAATTTTATTTTACAGCCCTTTTCTATCATGTCAAAAGCACAAAGGACTTTTTCTTCTTTACCCGAAAATCCATCTAAATTTAGAGGGGTCGTTCATTATGATGGGTCAGCAAGAGAAGTATGCAAAGAATTTTTACTGATTGACTTAAGGTCAGTAGCCCAGAAAGGGTGTCGGCAGCCTCGATGTAAGATATTGTTTTGATCCACTGGGCCTGAAAGGGAAGGTCAAGCTATATTTTATAGCTAACCTTAATCACACGAGGGCTCCCTTTCTTACAGCCATCAAGTCTCATTACAAACATAATTATTACTTAGTAAAAAAATTCAATTATTTATGCATATGCAACCAACAATGCATATCAAACTCCTGAAGAAATAGCCCGATGTTTTTATCCATATTTTGGAAGCTGGACCGCCCCTTTGTCCACTGTATGTAACAGATCAAAAAAGTTTCACCTTGTCAGGAATGAACCAGCTATCACAGGCACACTGAAATTAGTTCCTAAAGCAGCACTGATGTCTCTAAGCAACTGTGCCCAGCAAGTCTGTCATATAAACCCACGGCTATTTTACAATTATTTTCAGACAAACTATTTGTGCATCTCGATCCCTTAAGCAGCAATTTCCTTGCAGCTGAGAACAAGGAACCTGCCGTTGCTGAGCCCTGACAGGAGCCCTGCTGCGGGCCCGTGGCTCCCCGAGCCGCGATTCCCGCGGCACTCCCGGGCTGAGCTGCACCGGCCCGGCTGTTCTCGCTCTAACACTGATACTATTGCACAAAGGGCTGAGCTCGGAATGCCCAGGCGCATTCCTGGCAATTACAGTGTCGAAACGGGAGCTGCGCTGGAGCTGCGCGCTGGGCTCAGCCGCGGTGCCCCGCAGCCTCCCCGCGCTGTAAATCCCTGCGGGCTCCGGCACAGCCCCGGGGCTTCCCGCAGCTCCCCCGAGCGCCCAGCCAGCCCCAACATCGGCGGCACAACTCCCTGTTCTGCGCTGGCATGGCCACCGCCCGGCAGAGCTGTAGGGAAACAGCGCTGCCGACACATCCTTACATCCTTACCAGGACTGTGTGCATCCCTGTGTAGAGCCTGCTCAGACACACCAACGTCGAAACCACGAACGCTGCTACGAGGCCGAGCTCGAATGGATACTGTGAAAAGGAAAATAAATAAATAAATAAATACACCATTAAACCACACAGCTGGACTGATATAAGGATCTTGTGCTGGGAAGAGGCTCCTGAGCTGTGCTTTCCCCAAGAGATGAATGTGACCTGAGACATGGTCCCCCTCAATCAACACACAACCCTGCTGGAAGGTCATTTCATTACCTGTGGTGCCTGCTTCTGCAACATCTGCTCTCACTGTGGAGACATCTGGGGAAGAGATGGTATTTGCAGAATTGTTCTCTACAATATCTATCTGCAAAACCCATGTTAGTGTCAAAGAGCTTAAGGAAAAAGGCACAGCATGTTGTACAAGCCATGCCTGAGGTAGCACTGCAGTCTCAGCTCAGCCAAGGGGACTGTGGCAGCTGCAGAGTCTGACCAGAAGTGTGATCGATTGTCCTCGAGCAGTGCCTGAGTGGGGAGAATCAATGCCTGGGCTGAAACCACAGTCCAGCTATTAGAGCAGTCAGGACTGCTCTTCCCCGTGACACTTAAAGGTTTAATCATCTTCTTAGGAAGCTTCTTATTTTTGCCTAATACTCTCCCTGAGTAGCCTAAAAACATGGAAAGAACCATTTAAATAAATCATTAAACATAAAACATTTAAAAATTTAAAAAAAACCCCACATTTGGTAAAGAATAAGCTTAACATATTAGCCCTTAATCCACTCATTCAAACCCTGAAACTGAGTGGGCTGCTGGGCTCCTTTCAGTCCATAAGGGAGTTTTTTCTGAAAAAAAACCAAACCAACTCAAAATATAAATAAATGCAATTAATTAATCCAATTTGATGCAAAGCCTCTGTGGAAATTCTAAGCATAGCAGCTCTCTTCTGACCCTTTCCCCTGGCATACTCCAGCCTCCTTAATAGAGAGCTCAGACCCAGCTGCAGATGTCACTCCCAGTTCATAAAACACTATTTTCCCTCATGTCTCTAAGCCTTTGGAGGATTTGCACCCACTTGACTCCTCCCTCAGCAGGCAGCCTTCGAGCTAGTCCAGATCAGTAATTGATGATTAGGGCATCTTGAGAAGATAGCAGCATAATGTTCTGGGAGATTTTTCTATCTTAATAGAGGCAATTAAACCATTTTAATTATTTGACAACAGCTTTATTGTTTCATGGCAGTTTCCAGGAAGCACAAGACTGCCTGTTAAGAGCTGCATGTCCCTCTGGTCACTTTGGATTGAGGAGAAGGTGATGCTGACCAGGTCATCTTGGCAGCCCTGACACACGGGATGGATCTGGCTCCCAGGACTGACAAATATTCCCTCTTTTGGCTCCTTGTCCCCATGCCACTGTCAAGCTGCTCTGACCAGTTACCACACAGGGAGCAGAAGCCCTCTTATTACATGGGTTTATCCCTTGGGAGGGCTGAGAAACATTCTTAAATACAATGCAGCCAGGAAGTGATTATTGCTAGAGTACAGGAAACACAGGCTTGGATTCATTAAACAGAACGAAAATAATCATCATGGAGAAATGAGTTTCCAGGAAATAAACCTTTAGGAAGATGATGAGGAAAAATTATGAGACTTCCCCAAGCAGCCTACAGCTCCTACAGTGAAGTTGCTGTTACTGCTCTGACAAGCAGGCTTCCCAATCATGTTGTGTGCTGTTAGTCTAACTCAAGTTGGACCAGGGGATTTCCAGGAATGCGCTTCCTGTCATACCGAAACCACAGAGCTCCTTTGGTTCCCCTGGGAGCCAGCATGTCCCAGTGTGCAGCAGTGACCTGGTGGGCATGGGCTGAACACAAAATGTGGCAACCAGGCACCTTCCCTGCAAGGCCCCCCCACGTGCAAAAACACAAGGACCCCACCAAACTACAGCAGGGCAGTGCAGCCTACCAGCAGCTCTGAGAGGAGTCCATGCATAAAAAAGGACATTTCCACTAAATTTCTTTTTGTGTCTATTATTGAGCAGCTACAGGTAAGCAAAGGGAAGAATACACATCTGTGAAAATAAATAAAGAACTCCTCTGGAAGTAGCAACATCTTTGAATTCTCAGGCTTTATGTGGTTTGCTGGAAGCAGACACAGGATTTTCTTTTCCTAATGGATTTTCTTTTTCTTCTTCTGTTTTCTTTATGTACCCCTACCTTGTACTGGTTCATGGTTGCAATGAAAAAGGAGAAGGAGATGGCTGTAGCTGCCATGGCGTGGGTGGATGGCATCCCATACTCTGCATTTGTCCTCATCTCCAGCTTCACGACAGGTGGTGACAGGGGCCGAGGCCACTTCAGGATGTCCTTGGAGACCTGGCCTATGTACATCACTATCTGGGGACAGGAAAGGCCACAGGGCTGTCAGTCAGCACAGGCAATCCCCATGCAGCCCACCCAAGAACCACCTGTATTTCTGTGCTTTTTCCTGCAGAATCCACCCCTCCAAGTGAAGAATTTATCTCCTGAATTATTAAAGGGGTTTCCATTAGCTCAGCCAGTGAAGGAAGTGGTGGTTTTGCACTCTGTGGTAACCTGAGCAGAAGTGGGACCAAAAGGAGGGTTGGCTGATGAGATTCAGCAATACAGGACAGTGTGAGACAGACAGCTGGCTCCCACTCCATGCCAGAAAAGCTTAAGTTTCCTCCCTATCCCTTATAACCCCTCTCCTGCAAAGAAAGCAGCCATAAGAGAAAATTTTCCACCTCATCTTCAAATCACAGCCGTGTCCAGCACCAGCTCCCCCATTCCCAGCAGCTCCCACTCCACCCACTGCTGCAGGAGCCCTGCTGGGCCACAGCACCCGTGTGGTTATTCAGTGACAGCCTCGGCATCCTCACAGAGGCAGCAGAGGGAAACTGGACAGGCAACATGAGCTACCAGTTCTCCTGCCTAACTCCCCAGTAAAAGGATTTTATTCCCTGCTTGAGACACCCGAGGTTTAAGTGAGGGCTGCATTAATTAGCTCAGCAACACAGTACTTTTAGAGCAAATGTCACATTCTCAGGTCAGCAAGGGAAGCAGAGGCAAGGGGCAATGCTATCCAGTATCCCTGGGAGGTGCTGCCTATCCAGCCATGCTCCTTAGCAGCCTCTCCCCAAATGCAGCACGCTCTCAGCATCCACAGTGAGGACATCTGAGAAAAGTTAACCAGGCTGTCCCTGTAGGATGTATTTGCTTCCTGTTGTAGCCCTCCTCCCTTTACATAATGTAGCCACACATAGGCAGAGGAGGCTCTTTAAAACAAAGCCAAGCAAACCTTTTTCCTTTTTTTTTAGTATAAAAATCAGGTTAACTGATGTCTACCATGAAAGCTCACTTGCTGTGTGAGACAGCTTGCTCTTCTGCTTCTCATGCTCCCACCAGCAAAGGAGGGGACTTAAAATAACATCCTTCCCTTTCTACTGGTGTTGGCCATATGCTGGAACAGCAACACGATCACCCACTGCCACATTTGTCACCAGGCACACTGCATCCCTCTCTCTCCCATCAGCCATTTAAAAAATGGTTTCACATTAAAAGAAAGATGGCAGGATTCAGGATTCACAAGTCAGGACCAGGAAAAAGCCAGTCATTCCTTCATCCTTCCCTCTACAGCAAAGCACATGCCAGAGAGTACTAGATTTACAGCTAGCAGCAGGACCTGGAAAAGTGACTTTGCATCCTTTATTCCTCATCATAAGAATCACATTACTGCCTTATTACCAGCAGCAGGTGGGACCCACCTGGCTGCTCCTATGGACACAGGGCACAGGGAAGACAGTGAATAAATACTCTGCCCCAGACTGTTCACAGTAAACAAAAGCTCAAGGAACAAATGTCTTTTAAAAACCTACTGTGTGATTTTATTTAGTTAATGCCTTCAGTTTCCAAATGGATGCAGGCACATGTTTGGAAGTTAATTAAATTCCAAGGTTGAAAGAAAAATTGCTCTCTCAGGCAGAACATAAAACATTGAGGCTGCCATTTGTGATACCATCTGAGAGGCAAGGTAGGATGAGCCAGTTTATCAGCAGTCCTCTATAATAATGACTTCCACTTGTGGAAGTATTATTAGCACTAGAACATAAGAGCATTGCAGAAAAGGAAATGAGTCATCTCAAAAATGAAGGCTATGCTAGGACTCCTGTGATGGAGAAAAACAGACTGAATGCTGGAGGTGGGATGGGTAAGTGAAAATACCAGACATCATAACAACATCCCCTTCCCGGCATCCCAGATTAAATTCTGACCCTTTTACTTTAGAAACAAATTGTATAGAGGGTAAGGAGAGGTGAGACGACCTTCATAAAACATGTAGGGGACTCCAGAATATGCCCAGACTAAGCACGGATCTCTGAAGCACCGTACCTTTGCCTTTAACTTATTTGGGTGCCATGCACGTGGCTTTGCACACATTATTCTGAATTATGTGGCAGAAGCAGCGCTCGTGGGTGAGGTAAAACACCCCCAGCAGCTGAAGTGGCAGGCTGCCCGAGAGAATGACGGCAGGGGCACATTGCTAAAGGCCACCGTGCACAGGCGGTGCCGTGGCACCTGCACCCCATGGCTGCAGGGCTGGGGGAGCCCGGCTGTGCCTGGGATGGAGGATCACGGCTCTGCTCAGGCACTGCCCGGCTCTGTGAGGGCTGCAGGGGCACGGCACTGCCCAGCTCTGTGAGGGCTGCAGGGGCACGGCTCTGCCCAGGCTCCCCACAGGCTCTTTTCTCCCAGCATGGCAAAGCAAACAGAGCTCTGCAGAGCTGCCGGCCCCGGGCAGCAGGGTCCCTCCCTGGGACAGGCCTGTGCCACGGAGCAGGAGTGGCACTAGTGGGACCCATCTGGCAGTGCCCACCCTCACCCTTCTCTCATGCACATCCGTGTTTTCCCAGCGCAATGAAAATGACTCTGAACTCTTTTGGGTTAAATCCTTGCAACAAATGTAAGCAGCAATAAAAAAACAAACAAAAACCAAAAACTGTAATCAGCTTAAAGCAAGACCCTCCTCAAGCTCTGGTGTCTACCACAGCTACAGCTGTGCTGAGGGCAATAGCAGCACTTTACAGCTAGCCAGGACTCCAGGTGAAGGAAGGCAAGGCTTTATTGCCACTTTGGGTGAACAGCACTACATTTTACTACACAAAGGCAATTGGCAGTTGCTATAGCAGCAAGACAGCCTCTGTAGTCTTTTTCTGAGAGCTTCCTCTTAATTTGCTCTGAGTCATATATATAGTCTATCTCCAAAAATACTTCTTCACCTGAGCCTTTGCATCAGGATAAACAAGGCAAACATATCTTTGTAATTTAAAATATTTTGCTTTAGTGAACAACTACAGAACAAAATTTGAGGCATTAGAATCCACACAGGTGTGGCTAGCTATTCATTTGTTCCAACATCTGAAGGAGATCCCTCTGGGGTGAGGGGCTGCTCCCCTCCTTCTGAGCATCTGAGTGCCATGAAGTGACCCATTTCCCTGACATTCCCATGCCTCTGGTGTGTAAGTCAACCATCTAGGAGGAGGTTTTTCTGACCTGCAGGCATTGTCTGGTATTTGCAATGATTTCCCCTCACATGCATCACTCCTATGACAGGAAGCAAGAGCTCTGGAAGCAGATTTACCACCACAGTGCAGATGCACATGGAGCAGACAGACACAACTAAGCCTGTTCCCTGTGCAGAGGCGTGGCAGCACTGCCACAGAGTGCAACTTCCCCTGTGGAATGTTCCTATGGCAGCTGCCCAGACCCTGAGCCTGGCAGGATTGAGGAAACATGCTCAGTGCTGCAGGTGTGCTTTGTGTGGACATCCTCCTTCACCCCTGCCCTCTACAACCTCTGCACAGGATGGACACACCTGACTCTCTCACTGGCATATGAAGGTCAGGAGGAGCAATTCTTTTTTTATTCTGTCATATTTCAGCTAACAAAGGGCAGCCAGATCATATTTGTTTTCAGCTTCTGATTTTGCAGCTGTCCTTATCTTCATTATTGATCTGTTAAAAGGACAAAAAATTCTAGAGAAGACACACTGTCAAATAGCATAGGCAATTTCTTCCCTGAGACTCACAGTGTGGCAGCCTGACTCTGAATCTTCTGGTTTAGCTCCAAAAAGAAACTCTGTAACCTGGCTCTAGAAACCCTGGCCTGCAGCAGTATATGTCATCTCACCAGAAAGGAAACTTACGGTTTGGAAATGATGTTACTTTGGGTTTCTTTCCCAAGCACTGTGCACTGATAGGAGTGACCAAGGATACTGCAGAAAAAAGAGAAGGCTGGCCTATTAATAAACATGTGCAGATTAGTCAAGCAGACGTAAAGACTGTATGGGGTTGCTAAGGCAGGCGTGACTTTGATTTACCATACAGAAATTAAGCCAAGCACCCAGCCTGCACAGCTCTGTGCTCAGCATCCCCCAAGTGCAGTGACCAGATAAACACTGCAGCAGATTCTAGCTGTGACTTTGTCCCTCGGGCATCACTCAGTTCAGAGTGAAAGGAACAGGGCAAGGAAAAGCTTGTTCTTGTGAAGGTACTCCTCCTACCTACCCCCCAGTCAATGCCAAGAACTAAGGCTTGGCTCCAGCAAAGCACACCATGACAGTCACTGAGCTGCGCTGTTGGCCCCTTGCCCTGGCAGCAGCAGCCCTGCAGAGCAGAGGAGCCCCAGACCCGCCAGCCTGGGGCCCTAAGCCACCCTCAGATTGTGTCCTGCTCCCCATCCCCCCTGAAGCACCAGGCTGCTCCCTGTGCTCCAACCCCAGCAGCAGGGCTGGATCCTCCTGGAGGCACACACACCTTGTGGGAGAGGGTAGCTGGCTCTCCCAGAGCTCCAGCACCTGCTATTTCCAGCGTGGGTATTGTTTCCCAGAAAACACATCCACCTTGTGCTGGCTGCACGGGAGCTTTTCACATTTCCCAAGGGCTTGGCCAGGGTCCATGGGATGTTCAATGTTGCATTCAGCTGGTGGGATGCTCAAACCCTTGGGCTGTCCCAGCCACTATGGGAACATCAAATCCAACAGGCAGGTCTCCAGCCCACCACAAGGAGCACAGCACTCACAGCACAGCACAGGGCAGCAGGGGCTGGGGGACAGGGAAGACACAGCTTGGGCAGCTTCCTAAAAATGTTACATATATTTAAGGAAGGAGGACTTTGTCTCAATTCAGGCTTCAGAAACACAAAACCAGAACAAGATTAGTAGAACCTCAAGCCTCCAGAAGTACAACCAGCCAACACCCTAACACATTCTCTCTGTCTTTTAAAGAAGCCATTAGACAAAATCTATAAGGTATTGAGTGCCTTATAGTGGGCTTAGAGAAGGAAATTTGAGTCTAGGCTCCTGGTAGCAGGGAGGTTGATCTGGTTTGTCATCTAACATATGAAACTGTAAACTGTTACACCTAGAAGTTCTACTGAAATACAAAAGGTTGCCAGTTGAAACTTCACCTTAAATGATTCAGAGCTTGTCTCAGTTATGAAACCCTTATTGGCCCTTTTTCTTCAAGGGTGGAGTACAGCTGCCAGCTCTTGCAAAATTTCCTTTCAATCAGCACTTTATCAACTTGCACACACCATTTATTTTTGTATCCTGACATGTAGTTACTCATGTGCCTGAATACAGTTTTACATGTTCCTGTGCAGTGCAATATTTGGAGCTTGGCTTTCAAGTGACTGTTCGTCAGCAGTTCCAGGCTTGTTTCAGCGAAGTGTTGCAATTGCACTAACACACACAAAATTGTAAACCCCAAAGTTTACTTCCAAGTGTGTTTTCAATCACTGCACAGCCATATCAGTGGCATCACAATTGCAGGTGAACTCCAGCTGATTAGGAAACTCCTGGTTGCTCTGAGAGGGAGTAATGAGCTCATCATTGCTGAGTAACTAAGTGCTGCCAGCCTGTAGAAAACTGTTCCTCTGAAAAGCAAGATGAAAACTAAACTGCTGTGGATTCAGACCCAAAACCTTCTCAGACTTGGTACAGATGTCCCCAGCCAGTGCTGCCCAGGGAGCCCCGAGGGGCACACACAGCCTGGCATCACAAACACCCAAACTCTGCCTCCCTTCAGAGGTGCCACCTACTCCTGAGTCAGCAGCTTGTCACATGCCAAAAGCTTCCACACCTGCCCCAACAAAGTCCAGGCTGGCCAGTTCTTATTTACATTGCGTAAATTAAAGTTTTATATGCTATATAGTGGCCTGAGGAACAAAACCCAGAAAAAGAAATTTCCAGGCATGCCGAATAGCAAACTGAAACAGAAAGGTTGTTTTTTTTTCTAGGTCTCTGCCTTTGAGATTCCACACTAAAATAAAGATTACAAACCTGAAGCAGTGCAAAAAGTAAAAAATAAACAGAAGCAAAGTGAGATTTCACCTCTCGAGCTGAGATGTGCAGTAAACTTAAAGAACATTTGGGGACTGTGTGAAACTGCTTTTCATCTCTGCACTTCCTGGCTGAAATTGCAAGAGTCACAGGTATCAAAGCCTTTCCTGTGCAGTTTCAAGAGTGTTTACTTCAAATTGCTGGAGAAGAGAAGCAAAGACACCAGGGGACCTTCATTATTGACTCAGCACCTTGCTCAGAGGTTTCATACAGTTACTTCCTCCAGCTGTTCACAAAGGTAAAGCTAAAGCCTGCATATATACTCTAAATCCTCAGAGGCAAGGCCCCATGGAAGCTCACCATGCTGCTTTATGCTGCCAAAGCACCTGGATGCAAAACCACTCGGCATTTTCCACAGCCATCCACCTGAAGAGAAAAGCACCAGCAGCTGGCTCTGGGGACCCAGGGCTGGAGAAGACATTCCAGGGTTCCAAGTCCACTCTTCTGCTGCTGCTGAAATAAACTCTTTAAAATTTTTCTTTCTGCCCTTCACCCTTCTAGAGCTATTTCACAACCTTTGGCTTCAACTGAAATTATTTATGACTGCCTTATGCATGTTTCTTCTTATGACTGTAGTTTTATTTTAAGAAGCTCCTTCCTTCCCCATGGTTTTTGCAGCCAGCCCCATTCTCCCTCCAGTTTCATTTTGCTAGGGATTTATGTAAGCTTTTGGTCTCTGCTCAGAAAATAGTCTGTTCTTTAATCATCCCTGGCCCTGCTCCAATTTGAAATTATCTTTCTCAGATGGGGGTGACTGGCTCCACATAAACTGCTACAGATAAGATGGCAGGAAGTCTTGGTAAACAGCATTAATGCTGCTTTAATTTTTAAGGGATGAAACTCCTGTGATTCATCCTGGGACACCAACATTGTCATCTCCCAATTGCAGCAGAAATTCACAGGCTTAAGTGGGAAACAGCACAAAAAGTACCACCCTCAGCACCCTCATTCTCCAGAGCCACTTCTCCTGGCCAGCGGTGTCACCATCATCCCTGCCAGCCATGTTCCCACCATCCCCATCCGTGTGCTTTGCCCCAGGCTTTTGAAAAGGTCATTGCTGGTCCACTCTCTCCCCCTGCTCAAGAGCTTCACTAACAACCTCTCCTCATCCTGAGCACCCCCTTTAAAGGGGAACTACTCCAACTGTGCCCTTAGGGCTCTCTCTTTGATACCAGTTCCCTTCCTCAGATGGGTAAGAGCCTTCTGCAGGACCTGCCTGGGACCTGCAATTATCCCTTCATGCTCTTCCCAGCCCACCACTCACAGCTGTTGTCAGAGACTATCAGGCTGTCTGGATTTTTTACTGCCATCTAACACACTTTGTAGCCACATATCATCATCATCATAATCGTGCATTCAGAAGCATTTCTTCAGAAGCCCATCACCAAAAACCTCCAATTTAGTTAAAAGCACAGCTTTGTCCCTCTGCCACCTTGGTGTTTCCCTTGCAGCTGACACAAATGTCACATCCAGGACCAAGGCATCTGAGGCCAGACAGGGCTTGGAGCAGCCTGCTCTGGTGGAAGGTGCCCCTGCCACAGCAGGGGAATGGAAGGAGGTGGTTTTTGAGGTCCCACCCAACCCAAGCCATTCTGTGGTTTTATGACTATTAGACCAGCACCAGCACTGTGAGTGCCAGTCCCTGCTCACCAGCAAGAGACCCTCCCAGCTGGGCATGCCACAGCAGTAACACATGGCCTGCACGGACATTTTTAGCCATTTCACAGTTAGATACAACTAATGTTTTAAAAATACAGATTGTTGCAAGGCCATGTATTTAAAACAGTTCCCCCTTTTCAGTATAAAGTGCAGCTCCACAACTCAGTAAGTGAAAAATAATATTAATTATCATAATATCAGATGCTTGAATACTCTAATTAAGTCAGACTAGATCTGGCCAATACTCAGGTGAACTCCTTGCAAGGAAAAGACAAGGTAAATCTACAGAAATGCATGTAAAGAACTCCAAAGGCTCATTTTTTTGAGCTATATGCAAACCCAGAAGGCAGTGACTACCAATTTTCATCTTCTGTGGCACATTTCCAGAAGCTGTAGGTGTACTCCTGGCCAAAATCCAGCTCTAGTTGTACTGTGTCCACCTACTTCTAAATTTCATCTGCAAGTTATTTCTCCTGTTCTCTTTATTTATAAAATGTATTGACTAAGGTTACTGGCACAGAACAACTGACACCTTCTGTCTAATACCAAGTGTATTTGAAGTGTACAACCCAATTCAAGTTGGTTTTATTATTTCTTATCATATTATTTGGTCAAAAGACAAAACATTATTAACCAGAATCGACTAGATCACAGAGAAGCTTCACTGTAAAGAGATAAACTTGGATATCATATTTAAGTTTTTACCAATATTCAGTTTCTTAAATCAGTGTAGATTGATAGTGCCTCCAGGCTCTGCCACCTAGCAGAGGTGCTCCCCACCTCCCTTCTCTGCTCTAAAATGGTTTTATTTGGGCAGCAATATCTGATCAATACCAAGATGAGCAATGGCAGTGACAGAACAGCCAGTCCTGGCCTGAAGAGCCCAGTTATCTCCTGTTTTTTTTCAGTGCTACAATGGAAATGCATTATTCTGGATACCCCAAACCCATGCTGAAGCAATGATGAAGTCAGTTAATTTGTGAATGCTCTCTATTAATAAAAATCAATGCTTTTAGCCTTCAACAGACAGCCTGATCTCTTCGCCCCTCAAGTGGCTGCAGAAACACCCTGCTTATTCCACTGCACCCTGCATATCCCCTTACTAGCAGGTTTGTAGTAATTTCAACTGAGCCAGAACCATATGAAATTACATAGGAGAAAAGAAAACAGGAAAAAGACTTCCTAAAGTGGTGACAAGCAATCCCTGAAATACTATGATGCACTGGGAAGGAAGTGTTTTCCCAACTGTTCTGTGCAAACTGTATCAAAAGCAGCTCAGTCAGTGGTTGTGCTGAAAAAATGTCAGCCCAAGATGTGGCAGAGATGAAGAAACCCTGAGTCAGATGATGTCTCTCGCCTCCTCTCTCAGCACTGCAGTGCCTTTTCTTCCTAAACACAAGTTGCACATAAACAGTGTTGGTGCGTCTTTGGTTTGAAGGGATTTTCTTGAAGGGTTGCTCTTGTTCTTAAATATTCATTTGCTATAGACAGAGAATTAAAGTTTAAATTAATCATAGGAATACTTACAGACCAAACAATTATCATTCTTCTAGACACAGAGTGATCTATATTCCAGTAGGTAAATGGAAGGAAAGTGATATAAAAAATCTCTTCACCCAAAGCAGCTGAAAACTTGAACAAGTAGTAGTAGAAGTAGTTCTTCACAATATACTTCTGTGTGCAACCCTGGAAATGAGAGAATTTTATCATTTTAGTGAATCAGAAAAATAGAACAAACGCTTAAAATATTATAACTGCTACAGTTCCCAGTCCTTAAACCCAATATTTTGTTGTAAGAAGTGTCAAGAAATGAAGTTCAACTTTTTGTACTAGAATGAAGACTACAGTGACAGCACAGCTACATTTCCTGCAGAGCAGAAATCTATTCAGAGTAACTGAGGTAGCAGTCACATGGACAAAGACTTTCAAGAGATGGGAGCAGCCTTTCCTCCAGGGTAATCAGGTGTATTTCATAAAAGGTATTGATATGCTAAGTTTGAAATTTCTACATCAGGAGACAAAGCCACCACTGCTTTCTCTGGAAATGAATTTTGAGGTGAAAAACTTAAGCTGCAATTACTAAACTACTTCATTTAAAATTTGCTTCATTCTAATCACTGAAATTTGCTGCCAGGTGGTGCTAACAACAGCCCTCAACACCGAGTTCTTCACAGCCTCCAGCCCTGTGCTCCCAGTGCAGGATCTCATGGCATCACCCCACACTGAGGTGCCACAGCTGGGAGATTCAGCTCCTGCATGGGACTGGGCTCAGCAACCACAGCTGCACCAGCAGCAACCACAGCTGCACCAGCAGCAACCACAGCTGCACCAGCAGATCCAGGGGAGCACAAGGCTCTGAGTGGGCAGAGAAAAGAGCTGCACCTGTCACCATCAGATTTGCACTCCAACATTTTAAGTAACAACCACAAGGTTGTCTTTTTAAGCATTATTAGTAGATACATTGCAAACAGCGACACTTTAGCACTTTATGTATTCATTGTGTTTAGCATGAAATTTAATTCAGTCTCTGGATTTGGTAGCTAGGTGATTTCATTAGATGTACCCCACCTACCATATTTCTTTTTTGTTTTTGCTCTTCTAAAAGGGGACACCCAGCCCTCCAGAGCTGGGAAGACACAGAACAGCACACATTGCTTAGGCCATGACTTTGGCCACTTGAATGTGTCTAGGAAAGGTTTGCTGCTGCTGCTGCTGCCATTTGGGACTAGAACGCCACTAAGATGTCTCAGACTGTTAGCAGGAGCAACAGGCAAGTGATTCACATTTTGTAGGTACACCTGTCACTTTGGGAAATATGGAGATAGACAAATAGACAGGAGTTTTGATTCAGGGGAGGAGCTAAGGAGCCAATTTAGTCTCACTCCATCTTCCTCAAAAAATTAAAAATATGTACATTGGCTATGTAAATACAAGATGGAAGAACTTCCTAAGGATGAGAACTGAGAAGGGACCGTGAAGGTCTCAGCACAGACATGCCAAGTTAAGACATAGTTTTGACATAAGCTTGTAAAACTCTCAGAATAGGAAAACTGCTATACTTGAGCTGGCTGTGTAACTAGTTTACTAAAGAGAAACTCTCACCCTACATGCTAGTGAGAAAACATAAAAACTGTCTAAGGAGTCTAGACATGCACTTGTGACTCACTGCAAAAGCCATTAGAAGTTCCAGTCTCTTCATCTGCTTTTAATGCAGAGATGAGGCAAACTGCATGGAGAGGACAAAAGCAAGATGGAAAGAACTTGCACCCATTCAACTATCATTAAAAGCCCCACAACTTGAATTGATTTTTGCACCAATAAACAGAAAAGACAAGTCGATATTTTTGGAAATGCCAGGGTCAGAGGAGTGCTCCCCCATCTATCAGTCACAGAGGAGTTCCTGGCATCCCTGTGGGATAACAGCCCTGTGCTGTGTCTGGCTGCCTGACAGAGCAATCAGCCCCAGTGTCTCAAGTCTCATCTGCCACTTAGAAAACACCCCCAGTGCAATTAGCAGCTCCAATGTTTCTCTCCGAGATCCTGAAACTGTATTTGGTGACGCTTAGCCCAGCCCCACAGAAAGCCTTCTTCTGGCACCACTAACTCCTCACTTAAACTTTAATCTCCAAGGGATTGGGGATTATGTGCTTGTGTGCTTTAGCTCAGAGAGGATCAGACACATCCCTGAGGTAATGCTTTTATACTTGCAACCTCATGGGATGAGGGATAAAACCTTCCCATTCCAGTAACTGTTTTGTGGGGGAAAGTATGGTTTATCAGGTTTTAAAAGAAATACGGAGTTTAAAAAAAAACATTTCCAGGCTGAAGGCTGGTCCAAGTCCTTCCACATGATTCTTGAAACCTTTCCTTTTTTTTTGTCTTCCATTCCTTTTCTATCAGATATCACACACACACATTTGGTTGGATTTTTAGCATTTTTTTAACTCTACACCAGCAGTTGTGCACAGCCAATGTGTGGTAGGGGACAAACAGAGCCTGTCTGTGGCACGATGCCAGCAGCCACAGGTCAGGCACACAGAATTGCTCCACTTGATGCTTGGTAGTACATGGTAATAAAGTGATGTTTGCACCTGTGATCCCACAGCACTGTAAGTACAGCAAGCCTCCTCCATGCACCTTCAGACTGCAGTTAGCTCACATTTACTATCTACATCCACTATTTCTGCAGGAGGCAGAGTGCAGTGCTTTGTGAAGTGTCTCCTCTTTTTATTCTCATTCTAACCCCAGTGCAGAAAAATCCATTATTTGTGTTAACATCTTCTAACATTCCCAGAAATTTATTCAATCGCTAATTTTAAGTAACTCTTATCTTTAAACTTGGTTATTCTTAATGCACTGCCATGACCTGATGCCTTCCACAATGGCTGAAGCCTTCTCAGCAAATCAGCCCTTCCATCCATCTCCATTGCTATTCTGTCTGGATCAGGGAGGTCTTAATGGGCAGCAATTAAGGCTGTAGATAAAGTCAGAATTTTTAGAGCATTTCAGAAGCAAGATGTAATAAGCCTCGGCATTCAGAGACAGAAGACAGGCAATTTCTCAAAAATGACCCTTCTCACCAACTGCAGAATGTCAGTTTTGAAAAACCTCGAGTGCTCAGACTACAAGAAACTCTCATGGATGTATGAGTCTCCACAAATAAACTACCCACTGTTGGCACAGAAATGGCTCCTGCAGGTCACCCCACCTTTGCAGTCTCTGCACAGGGGTGGATCACCCACACCAGGTGCTGCCACAGCACCCACCCAGCCTCCCTGGAGCATGGGAGCATCCCCAAAACATTCCTGCAGGGCCAGCAGGGCAGGGGGAACCAACACCCTGGTGGTTCTGGGGAGACAATAACACAGCACAGGAGGAATCCATCACTTTAGAAATTATATATATATGTAGTGTTTGGCCTTCAAAGCTGAAACAAAGGAACAGCAGCTAAACCACTAGCATAATAGATTAAAAATGTATTTTATTTCTTGCAATTCCTCTGGGAGATTTCTTGTCAGAGAGCAAAACAGGCCCCAGCTTTTCCTGCCCTGTCTCTAGAGACAAGCTGTGCAGCATCAGACTTCTAAGGCTCAGAGTCTGACCCAGAGATCCCATTATCCAACACTCTGTTCTCAGCTCTCAATTACTTCAGATTTTTCAGAAAATGTACATGTTTAATTGAAGTTCTTGAAGTCCCTTACTCCCCTTCCAACAGAATTGCCTTGCAAAAGATTAGGAGGTCCCCTCCCAAAGTCCCTAATTAACACATTACATACTTTTCACTTTAAGGGTTTTTAATGTGGTAAAAAAATTGGTTCTAAATTTAGAGATGCCACCAAAAATCAGGCACAAAAGAAAAAAAATCAAAAATTCCAGTCTAGATGCTGCTGTACACAAAGACAATATAAATCAGACAAATCAGCCCCACAGGGCTGTACTGTTTAGAGTAAAACCACTGTGAAAAAGCCTTCTGTACTGGAGTACTCTGCATAAGCAGTGAGTTTTACATCACTTTGTTTATTAACTGTACCAAGTTAAAAAAGGAACCTATCAAGTCACAACAGCCAAAAATATTAGATATTGGTAATTAGATTTGGAAAATAAGAAAAAGCAAAACCTATAATTGTCAAAAGTTTCAGTTCGTTCATCTAACTGCACAGCTGCATGTCAAACACATTGAGTTTCCAGAAGATCCAACAAGCAGCCAGGGCAGCCACCAACACTCCAGCAGCTGTGCATTCACCTTCCCTGGGAGCAGCAGCTCCATAAGGAGGGAAAGGGGTGGCCAGGGAACAGGGGCTGTGCCCCAGGGGCAAATCCTGGTGTGGCCATGAGCCCCTCACTGGGCACACAGCACCCATGGTAGGGTGAGGGGCAGCCAGCAAAGAGCAGTACAGAGTCATGGGAGGAATTGCAGAGATGTCAGGAGACAGCAGGGGCAGGAAAACAGCCCACAGAGTACACACAAGGAGCCCCAAGGCATCAAAAATAACCCTAACCAAACTCATACATATGTGCAGCTTCCCACTCTGTTTAAATGCTTTAAAACAAGGAATTAATTTTTTAGTCTCTGCAGAACATGAGGCAGCCAGCTTTCAATAGCTGTCCAGGTTTACAGGGTGTGGTTGGAGGGACACCTAGAGCCAACCAAAATCTCAGAAACGTGGAGATGGAGACCAACAGAAACCCCAAGAAAATCCTCCTTATAAGTCATAAAACTTTGTCCAGCTGTGCTGTTGGCAGTAAGTCCTTGTTGACCAGCACACAGAGGGCACATCCAGCTCCCAGCTGCTGTGCAAGCAGAGACAGCAGCATGCACTCCTGGCCCAATGAGAGGGACATGGACTGGCTGATGCAGAAGAAAGACAATCATTGCATGAGACATAACAATGCTCAGCCTCCAAACCAGAGAGTCACAGCACTTTCAGTGGTCTCAGGTAAAGAACCAGTGGGGAGCCTAAAAAAAAAATCAGGCAGAATCCTGGTAGTATTTCAGCAATTTCTTATTCCAAAAGGCCATTAGGTAAAATTCTCAGCAAGGTACAATAGAAGAGCAGTGCTGTTCAGCCAACAGCACCAGGGATGGCTGGAAACAATCAGGCTGAAAGGGGCTGTGGTCTGTCAGAACAAAGGCTGAGACCACCCAGACAGACACTGGAAAAGGCTCATGCAGGGCTCCCACCAAA